ATTACAAGATGAAATTTAGGTGTTTGTAGTCCAAAAATCACGTTATTAATAATAATAAAAAAAACACATGTTTCATAAAAATAAAAATAAATACATAAATTAAAAATTAGAATTTTAATAAAATAATTAAAAATTAACTTTGAATTATTCTTTGAGCGTAGTGTGAACGCAATAACTAGGATTAACTCCATAATAAAAATTACTAAAATCCAAAAAAAAAAATTAATTTTATTAATTTTCTTATCCATGGCATAAACTTTTCATAAAGTTTTGCTTGTGAATAGAGAAAGTAATTTATTCTATATTTTTTTTCTTGCAGAGATCCCTTTATAAAGGTTCGAATTGTGATGAGAATAAACAATTTGTTATATTTATATGCTACATTATCAAGTTTATAGCGTCGCAAAATCTCTAAAAAAAGAAAAAGAAAAGGAAAAGCATAGTTTTGAGGCATAAGGGCTCGAAACACTATATTCTTGATGGGGGACAGCTTTAGGTGATATTACTTGATGTCGAGCGTTGGGTCAGATTGATAATCATGGTTTAGGGTCAAATTACTTAACCTCAAACTTTTGAAATCACATAAAAAATTGGGGGAGGAATTTGTAATTTTATTTCTTAATTTCAATTTTAAGCATCACATCAACTTATTTGTGTCTAAGAATCCTTGCTATCAAATTGGGGGATGCTTTTACATAAAGTAATAAAAAAATCTATTGAAATCAAATATAAAAAAACTACAAGATTCTTCTTCATCCAATCTAATTGCTCGAGGAATAATTTTACTTTAGTTTCCAAGGAGGGCAATTGATGCTCTTGTCTATGAAACTTTAGAATATTTGCGAGCGCTGATGAGACTAAGGTAGAGAACTTGCAAATTAATCTTCGAATAAAGAACATGAAAGTTAACCTGAGAAATATTTTAACAATAGATATCCGAAACGACTTGTTTGTAACGCATCCGAATGTTGTTTTCTTATCGGAATTAAAGCAAAGAATTTGAGAACTGTATACTTTAGTCAATCGGAGGAAAAACCTCTGTTTTCCTAACACTCTGTTCTTTCTATTTTCGATCATGTCGAAGGCTTTTCTTAAAGGGGTAACTTGTGAATACAGAAAGTAATTTATTCTATATATTTTGCTGTTGCAATAATCTCTAACATATGCTTAGATAACGTTGGGAAACTATCTCTGGACAAACAGAGATAATGGAGAGAGGGAATCTGTTTTCCTGTATTTTTTTTATTTTGAAATTATAGAAATCCACTTCAAAACTGTTTTAGAGATAGATTTATTTCATATATCTTTTTAATAAAAAACATTTCTATTTCTTTAGTGTTAGTTCATTCTTTCTCTGATAATATGTATTAGTTGATTCTATCTTGAAACGTTAACCAAATGTAACTTTATAGACCTTTCATTGAGTTTTGGCTTGTGATGAGAGCAATACTTTATCCTATTTCTTCTATCAACTATATAAGAACGTTTGACTGACTTCACTTTGGGTACTAGTAGGAATTTTATGTTCAAGTTTATAGAGTTCCACAATCTCCATAAATAAATCACAATCTCTATAACTAAAACACAGATTTGTGGGACGAGGATTGGCAGGCGACATAAGCTGGTTGAACGGAAGCAGAGCCCGCAGACATTCACCAAACGTTTGGGCTGCAAAGTTGTGAGTATGTGTCTCTGTTTGTATCTGTATCTGAACTGTTTTTTTACATGCTTTGAACTCTAAATCTCTCAAGGTGTATGGATCTGAACTGTTTTTTGACATGTTTTGAACTCTAAATCTCTCAAGGTGTATGGCTGCTTCACACTATGCACATCGAGGAACCATGTCTTTTATCATGCGGTGATGATAAGAAAGTATTAGAAAGCATAAAACTCGAGGGCTTACATCTTACAACTGGCTACTGATAAGTCATATGGTTAAGGGTAATGTAACTGCATAGAAAGACAAACCATCAAACATCTTCACCCTAATCACTATATATTGCATATCAACAGGAAAAAGGGAGAAAAAAAACGACATCTGTATCGTATTTGATTTCTCTAGTTTAGTTAAGTTCTTTTATATACATATAATGATTTTGGTAGATTTATTTATTTTTGAAAATGTTTTCTTTTCAGGGTCTTGTGGTCGAAGATGTGCATGCATGATTGTCTAAAACTGTTGAGGAACTATGGAGTGGATGGGGGCTTCGCACATTGAAGCTACGCAATCTCTTTCTTCGAATACTATCGGATTCTGACTTGGTACTGCTGTTCGGTTAGTATACCTATCACAAACTGGGTTGCCGTTAAATTTAAGGTTTAAGAAAAATTGAATCCAAGGGTTAGATTGTAATACTAACAAAGTAGAAACCAAAATCAAAATCATTTAAAAGCTTGAAGAACGAAGTATATATGAAGAATGGAAGGATTGAAAAGTTACGTTTTCAAACCTGTGTTTTATAACATTAAATTAAATTAAACAAGTTCTTTGAAGTGTTCTTGGAAAAGTTATTATTTTACTATCTAAAACTCTTGAGATCTTTCTATTACTCCTCAAAATATATTTGTTTTATCCTAATAACGTCCATATTTGCAGTGGGTAAATAACGCTTAAAACCATGTTACAAAAGCTGAACAATCATCAATCCTCAGCAGTGGCAACATTATCATTGGGTATCCTTGCTCTCAGCCGAGCCAACTCTGCAAATCCGAAGTTGATTCCAATAATTCGGCTTCCAACCCTACTTCTTCAGCTTGGTGGTCCTTGAATTGTCACAGCTTATTCTATGGAAGACAACGAATTATAGCGAAGGCACCTTCTTGGTAGCAGTCCAAGTCGGGGTGGCTTCTTATGTCTTGTTCAAGTTACGAAGCAGGAATGCCATCATGCTAGTAGCCATTCCCGTCTTTATTTCAGGAATAATCAAGTATGGAGAAAGGATATGGGCTTTCAGGTTAATTAGCAAGTTCCCAGACTTTTGAGCACTACACAGACAATCAATTATTCTTCCAGCCACGCTTCTGTTCTAGAACATCGCTTCCGAGTTTGCATAGATATCTCTATGAAGCTCGTCTTTTGTTCAGGATGCTGTTCACAAATTTAGTTCTTGGCATTGATGATCAAAAGATAACCTACGATTTGATTTCGAAAAAGAATACCAAATTAAGAAGGCTTAAGTTGATAGAAGTCCAGGTGGGAATATTCATGTATGATCTGCACTATTCTAAGGTGAGAAACGTTTCTTTTCCACGCATCATCCTCCATTCTATCACCTTCTTACCTCTGTTTCTGCATTAGTTGCCTTCTCAACAATAAGCACAAAGAAGAACGTGTATTCTAACCCTTGAGTCCCCGATACCAGTGATTTCAACGTCCTAAAGCAGCTATAATAATTAGCAGAGAGAGGTGACGTGGCACATTTCGAGGCGAGGATTTCTTTTAAAAAATTGGATGGAGTGTGGTTGGTGTAGAATTCATTAATAGCCTCCTTTCTTGGCACATTGTTACTCGTGTCTGTTATTGCTTGGTCTGTGATAAATTGTGCCCTTGAGTGGGAGAAAATAAATAGCCATGTAATTAGTTCATATAAAATTTTAATGCTGTTATATTTTAGTGTAAGGTTTATTTGTAAATGTTTTTATTTTCTATATTTTTGTGGCTATAAAGAGGATAGTCAAAATAATTTTTAGATTATTTTAGGATTTTGGGTAAAAAAATTATATATAATCTTTTATTTTCACATAGTAAATTTATTTAGTCGGCTTAAATTATAAATTATATGGATGGATTGTATGGTTGACCGTTCTTGATTTTTATATTTTTTTTATTTTTCAATTGATTTTTATATTTCTACCACAATTATCATAACATTATCAATTAAAAAAATGGTGTTGGCAGTAACCTCGATCCAAATTAATTAATTATATAATTACATGGTGTATCATTTCTTTTCAGAAAACTCTAAATTAAAAAGGTCTGCATAAATTTTTGGATAATCAATCTCTTTTAAAAAAATATTGACAACGGTCATAGATCTAAAATCATTGTTAAAAAAAATATTATTATTAAAAACTAGAATCCAATTAACATTAATATTCCCAAATTTAAAAAAAAATATTTATAAACATTAATAATTAAATAAATATTACATTAAATCAATTATGCTACAAAATTAAAAAATAGTGTCCCGCGTAAATAATTATCTTTGAACAACCTTTGATTTTGTTGAAACGGGACACGTGGGCAAGATTATGTGAACTATTTCCCCTTTTCATTTAAGATTTTTTGTTTTTATCTTAATAGTTAGTTGAACTATGGCATATTTTGATTTATTACCCTTCTAGCTAGGGTCCATTAATAAACTCATTAAAAGCACATGAAAATCACAAGCATAGCAAAAAAAAAAAAAACACAAAATCAAAATACGCCCCCAAAAGATTTTATTTTATTAATAGTTGAGATATTACATGTTTATATTTACGTCATTTTTTTAGATTCCAGTAATAAAATGCTAAAAATATATGAAAATCACATGCACAAAATTAAAAAGTAAAAGCAATTAATAAATGAGAAATTATACATTAAATAATGTTGAAAACAAATGAAGGAATAAATAATAGAAAAAAAATCCTACTTCTCATGAATCCTACAATCCAATAATAAATGAAGAAATCAAATCATATGCAAGCTAAAATTAGTTTTATTTTTCTATTATTCTTGTTTAGGACTCTTATTCCAATTATTTATTCCTTCATATAAACATTTGGTTTTTATATTATTTAATATTTAATATTTTATTTACCGATTATTTTCACTTTTGTTATTATTCACGTTATTTTCAGTCACTTTTCAACATATTATTAACACAACTTTAAAAAAAAACCAAAACAGGTAATAATTTTGACTATTAAAATTTAAAAAACAATTAAAATAAAAAATATAAATAGATAATAGTTCAGAGCTTATGTGCAACGATACGTGCAGCCCCATTTTTTATGGGCCCCATAACACAACAGATTTTGTAGGGCCACACGTCAAGACGATGTCACGTGTGACTGCTTACCTTCCAGCTGTCCACTCTCTCCTCTTCTCTAGATAGAGGAAGCCCAACAAACATCTCCGCCGCTGTAACCATTTCTTTCTCTCCAGCCTCAAAAAAAACCCTTGAGAAAATGTCGAAAATCCCACACGAAATCATAAGCGATATTTTCCAACAACTTCCCGTCAAATCTCTCCTCCGGTTCAGATCTCTATCAAAGCCGATTTGCTCCTTAATCGACGGCCCAGATTTCATCAAGCTCCATCTATACCATTCCATCACCGCCAAATCGAATCACAGTGTCATCCTCAAAGAATGGGATCTTTTCACTGTCGATTTTGACACCCTTTCAGACGCTGTGGAGGTTAAGCACCACCCCCTTTACGCAGCTGGGGGCACGGAGGTGATTGGTTCGGTTAATGGGTTGGTGTTTTTGAGACATTCGGAGAGGAATCTTGCGGTGTATAATTTGTCTACGAGGGAGTGGAAGAAATGTTTCGTGGTAGAAATTAAGCCTCCCAGAAGAGATTTGATTACAGGGTATGTATATTATGGGTTTGGTTATGATTATGTTGGTGATGATTATAAAGTGGTGAGGATGGCACAATTCGTTAGGGAAGATGGCGGTGGCTGCGGCGGTGATGGCGATGGTGGTGGTGGTTTGGGTTGTGAATATGAAGTTAGGGTTTATAGTTTGAAGAATGATAAATGGAAGAAAATTGAAGGTTTGCCAATTTGTCTCAAGTTATTAAGCAAGCAATTTTTTCATGTTTTGCATAGGAGAGGGTATGGTGTTTTTGCTGGTCATGCTTTGCATTGGATTGTCCCTCAAAGGCGTCAACTTGGTATTAGAGATTGTGTTCTTGGGTTTGATATTAGGAACGATAAGTTTTTCGAATTACCGCAACCCAATTATGAGAGCAAAGGTATGAGCTTTCAGGTTGATATTGGGGTTTTGGAAGGGAATTTGTGTGTAATGTGTAATTATGAGCATGTTTGTGTTGATGTTTGGGTCATGAGGGAGTATGGCATGAAGGAATCTTGGTGCAAGATGTTTTCTGTTCAAGGGATTAAGTGGATTGGTGCTTTTATGTTTTTGAGACCTTTGATTTATTCTAAGGATGGTGGTAAGGTGTTGTTGGAGGTGAATGATGAAAAGCTTGTGTGGTATGATTGGAAAAATAAGCATGCTAAGGTTGTAAAGATCCGTGGTGGACCGAATTCATATGGTTCTGAAATGTATGTGGAAAGTCTTGTTAGGATCAATGATGGTGATCGAAACGGCTGGAAGAAGCAGCAAGAGATAGATGAGGAAGAGGAGAAGAGGAAGGCAGATAGGAAGAAGAGGTAAGATAGTGTGAATTTTTTTTATGTGTTTGATTCTTTTGAAGCCATTTAATCCTATCTTCATCAAAAAAATAGAAATCCAAGTAATGTTCATAGGTAGTCTGTTAAGTTTTTAATTTTGGTTCACAAAAAAATAACTTTGTAGTCATGGTCGTGGACTCATGGACGGTGTAGCTTTCTCTCTTTATAAGTTAAATAATTTTTCCAGGTTATGTTTATTTGAGTAGCAAGTGATGAAAAGTCAGTCCACATTTTCAATTTGGGTGAAGAGCCATTATAACAGTTTTTGATTGGCTCTCTAGCAATAATTTTTATGCAAGTTTGTGTAAATTTAAATTCTTATTTTGTACTGTTCCGTCAAAGGCTTCATGTGGTCATTTGTTTATTTTGATTTAGTACCTTATGTCAGTTGTGTCTCTCAGGGATGATTTCCTGTCTGTGGGGTTCAAGCTGAAGTTGTAGGGCCACCAGAGAAAGAGGATACCGCACAGAGGCGAAATGGAAGGAGGTGAGCTTTTAGCTTGGCCCATTGAACAAATGCTTTCATTCTGCTGTCTGGTTTAAGCAATGTAAAGATCAAGGCAATTAGATTTAAGTTTTCATGTTTCAGAGGGCTGATATCTACTTCCGTTTCGGCAGATATTCTTGCTCCTTTTTTTTCTTTTCTGTTTGACCCAGGGTTGAAACTGAAGACTACACATGCCGGTTTGAAGACAGAAAATGTGGAGAAGAAGGCTCCAAGCAGTGTCTACTGTGCCTTATGTTGAAAGTAGTATACAATGTTAGATTTGGTTTTAGGACATTCTGATAAGAAAAATCAGATACTTTCTGCCTTACCGGCGCAAGAGGAACTCTGGAACTCATGTATAGTGTTTCAAGATAGAGAAGTTAGTCTATGTACTTTTTGAAGTTGTAGGAAACTTTTCAGAAATGATAAAATGAAGTCATTAGCCTACAAATTTATGGTGTTTTTTCACGCAAGGTTATGGGTAGGTTGGTTTGTTTTTACATTTTAAAAGTGTTTTGTTTTTGAAAAAAATTAAATATATATTTTTTTGGTGTTTTTAATTATTTTTTTTTGATGTATTGATATTAAGAATAAATTTTAAAAAATAAAAAATATAAATCTGTGACATCTGGTAGATGACTGGATATGATAGGAACATTTCACAGGAGACTTGCTGTGGAAATAATAATTCACATGTACTTTGCCGTGTAGATTCATTTTGGGGGAAGTAATTTAGGGCTATTGGATTTGAGCTAGATATCAAAGGACTCACTAGGACCATTAGATCCAAATCCACTGGCCTGGCTGTGAAGCAACCATTCTGTTCTTGTGATGTGGAAATGGAATCATGAAATTTCTGGGAAACATCTGGTTTTTTCCTATAATTGAACTTGGTTACTTCCTTCTCAAGCTGTTTAATTCGATGTGCTTAGATGGTTTTAGTGTACAGTTCTTCGAGCATCAATGCAAGGACAATCCAAACTTGAACAATGTCAATTGCCAACCCCAATAGTTCAAGATTCATGGAATGATTGCTTGTTTGAACAAAATGCAAGTTATTTTTGGCGAATGCTGCAGATTTCTTCGAACGCATTTCATTCCATAGGGAATGGCTTTCTCTTTATACAAATACTCTGTGTACCCCTCAGACCCGCTTCAGCCTTTTTTTGCTATCTAGGGCAAGCCCCCATTTCCTCAATGATGCCAAAAGTGGAAAGCGATCTCTTTGCCTAGCCACTATGCTTACAGGCTGCTGCTTCAAGCAAAGTGTCAAGAAGATGCTTCCAAAGTAATATCATGGGCCATTTGTGATGGTTGCTGCTTCCTTAGGCAATAATAAAGTGCGCTTTGGTATTATTGGACATCTTGCAAGTGGATCGGTCAACTTGTCATTAATCTAAAGGCTTAAGGTTAACTACCAGTAACAAATTGACATGTGTCATTATTTAGGGTTTGTGTCCCTTCCTTGGTTAACAAAAAAAAAAAAAGCCTCATGGTTGCTGGCACCTTGGTTTATGCCTTGTGTTTGAACTTTGAGCATTTGTGGATGTAAAAAATCCACATAAGCTAAATAACATGGGCGCTGCTTATAGTTATCAATACAAGACTATTCACATGCATAGTTATTAAACTCGGTTTGGAGGTTGACTGGTTAAGGGACCGGGTTTTGGGTTTTAGGGGTCAACCTGGGTCGATTCAAAAAAATTAAAAAAAAATAAAGTTTTAATATTTCATATAAAAAAATTTATATAAATATAAATTATACATATTATAAACAATGAAATTTAAAAGAATATTTTTTAAAAAAATTTATCCTACATTGAAAAGACATAATTTTTTTTTTGGAACATATAATATTTATACTAATAAGTTTCAAATCTCACATTAAAAAAACATGATTTTTTTCATGGGAGCATAGAGTATATATATGAAAGGGTTTCAAATCCCACATTAAAAAAATATTATGTTATATTTTTAAGTTGAAGTATTTAAACTAAAAGGTTTTTTATCTCACATTGAAAAAACATGAATTTTTTCTTGAGAACATAGAGTATATATACGAAAAGGTTTTAAATCTCACATTGAAAAGATATTATATTATCCTTTTAAGTTGAAGTATTTAAATCAAAAGATTTTTTTATTCCACATTGAAAAAACATGAGTTTTTTCTTAGAAACATGGAGTATATATACTAATGGGTTTCAAATTCCATATTGAAAAAACATTATTTTTTTATAGGAGTATAGAGTATATATACGAAAAGGTTTCAAATCCCATATTGAAAAGATACTATGCTATCTTTTTAAGTTGAAATATTTAAACCAAAAGATTTTTTATCCCACATTGAAAAAACATGATTTTTTTCTCGGGAACATAGAGTATATATACGAAAGGGTTTCTAATCCCACATTGAAAATATATTATGTTATCATTTTAAGTTGAAGTATTTAAACAAAATAATTTTTTATCCTACATTAAAAAAATATTACTTTTTTCTTAGGAACATAGAGTATATATACTAATGAGTTTTAAATATCACATTTAAAAAAAAAATCGAGTCTCGTCCGGGTTTGCCCGGGTCGCCTAGGTCAGGGGTTGACCCGCCGGGTCACCCGGGTTTGAAGGTCGCCCGGGTCATGGGTTGACCTGCCGGAACACCCGGGTTTGACCGGGCTGTTGCCACAACCGGTCTTTTATTAAACCCGAATCGGTCCAGGCACCGGGCCGGCCGGGTCCCCCCGGGTTGACCCGCCGGGCCGGACCGGGTTTAATAACACTGCTCACATCACGATATTAATTCATGTTTATCTTAAAAAAAAATCAAAATCAGGTTTTTATTGAGTTTTCAAAAAACATTAATTTCAAATTTAAAATAATTCAAAAAAATTTAATCATACAATTAAACCACAATATCAAATAATATCTTAAATATTATACCGTCATTGGCTCAAAGGGAAATTTACTGTGTTAAATGATAAATACTTGGTGGTCATGTTAAATGGTAAATACTTGGTATTTAGTATTATGATGAAGAATGTTTTTTAAAAGTATTTTTTATTTAAAATATATTAACATTTTTTTTTTAACACAAACATATTAAAATCATAAAAAAAATACTAAAAAAATTATTAATTTAATAAATTTTTATATAAAATATATTTTTAAAACATTTCTAAAGTAAAAAATGAACACATTTCCAAACACTCAACACTAAAGCTAAAACAAGGATAACCTTCCGTTTCTGTTAATTTTTCCTGTATGAGATCTAAGTGAGACTTCGTCATGATATGTTTGAACGTTAAATGGCGATTTTTTGCCAATTAACTAAACACCCATTTAAATAAATCGCTAATATTTTTTAAGTTAGGGTTAATTTACTACAATTAGTAATGATTTTAGAATACTGTGACTGTCTATTTATTATTATTATTATTATTGGAAAAGAGCAAGAATCATTTCCTTGATAACAGGACTAAAATGTAATAGTACTGAAACATTAGATACCAAAAAATACACTTCATTTAACAAAAATCAAAGTGACAAAGCTGCCCTTCACTGTCCAAGTTACCGTTAATAACTACCCTTGAAGCTCACACTCTCTTTCTTACTGAGCACAAAGGCCTTAAAAAACAGCGACTTTCTCAGCCTCAGCAAGTCAAGTCTCCCTCTTGAAATGATTGCAGAAATCCTCTGCAGAGTACAAGCACAGAAACTTCCTTGTTTCAGGTCTGTATCTAAACCATGGTGTGCTTTAATTGATGGTCCAAACTTCATTAAAATTGCATTTAAAGCACTCTACGGACACAAGTCCAATCTTTACATCATCATTAGAACTACTTCATATGTTCACTACATGGGTTTTGATCAAAATTTAGTTTCAAGTGGTTGTTTTACTTTAAAAGAGTTGAATCATCCTTTGATGTGTTATAATCATGGGATCAAAGTTTTAGGTTCTGTTAATGGGTTGCTTTGTGTTTCTAATGTTGTTGATGATATTGCTGTGTGGAACCCATCAATTAGAAAGTATTGTGTGGTGCCTTTTTGCCTATTATCTGAAAAGGTATTTTGGGACTAAATCTTGTAGAGTGTATGTGATTGGATTTGGCTATGATTGTGTGAGGGATGATTATAAGGTTTTAAGGATAGCGCAGTTTGGAGGTGGGGGAAGAGGAGTTTTGAGTCTGAGGTTAAGGTTTATAGTTTGAGGAAGCAATCGTGAAGGAGGATTGGTGATATGCCTTAGTGAAGATGAGTAGGAAAGTTCTCTTAGCACAAAGCAAAAGTAGGTTTCTATGGATGAAAATAATTGAAGCTGTTACATTTCGGGGTGCTCCATACAAATATCGTGCATATACATTCAACAGAAGCCTTGTTTCCCCAGTCAATCATGGCAGCCAAATTACTGGCAATACGGATCAGGAATTGGAGAACAAGACAGACAATGAGAAGAGATGAAGAGAAGAAATAGCCAAGATTTTCCTTCTTCTTCTTTGCTACTGGAGGCCAATGTGTTTTTCTCTAGGTTCTTGTCTATGGAAAGAAGTTATAGGTTCAGGATTAAGATTTTTGGCAGAGATGGCAGCAAACACCTGCATTTTTAGCTTCAAGATATTTGATGGAATCAAATAGAATTTGATTTTTTCTACTTCTTGTTGACTATATCGATTCATCATTGTGAAAGCTTTTAGTTTTATATCACATATGGAATGTATATATATATATATATATATACACAAGAAATATATATTATGTTGCAAGGATGGTTCATTGATCTGTTGTTGCATTCAAGATTGTTTTTTGATTTGGATTCACAAAAGGTTGGCTTGGAGTACAGGTCTGATCGTCAGTGTTTGTCTCTACCTATCTGCCGGTGAAATATCCCAATGTTATAGGCTTATCTAAGGCTCAATTATATGAAATCAGGAAGATTGTTAATTTCTCAACTAAGGCTTGCTCATAGATCTCAAGTGTCTGCTGCGGTGCTGCCTTGGCTATTTACAATTTTGCTTGCTACTGTCGTCAATTTTGCTGTATAATAGTTGTCTTTTTTTTCTTTTCTGTCTTTTAAACCTCTAGAGACTCTTGGCTATTTTCCTTCCCAGTGTTTCTTTATTTCCTTCTCTTAGTTCAGCTATTTGATTCCTTAGTTGGTAAGGAGAGAGAAAATTCCATATATAAAGTTTAGCACAATATTGGGTTCTTGCAACGGTTTGCTTTGTATGGAACTATCAAAGAATCCACACTCCACCAAAGACCATATCTTACCCATGATTGCGTTGTGGTTGTGGAACCCATTAACCAACAAATCTCATATCCTACCAAAAGCACCTATTGAATTTGCAGGGCTTCAGAATGATCACTGTGTTGAAGTTGAATATGCGTTCAGACATGATTGACTTCAAGATGACTACAAGGTTTTGATGATTTCTCACAAGGATCTTATAAGGGATGGTCTGGTACTCATATCCCTCAAGTTAAGGTTTATAGATGCAAGGTTTTGATGATTTCTCAGAAGGATCTTATAAGGGATGGTCTGGTAGACTGGTGCTCATATCCCTCAAGTTAAGGTTTATAGATAACTCATGGGCGGCAATTGTTGTGCCTGGTTATCTTCACTATATTATCAACAAGAAGGGGTTCTGGAATAGGCAACAATATGTACTAGTTCACATGCTTTTCAATGGTCGTTAGCACAAGGGGATGAATCAAATATTGCTGCATTTGATATTCAAAGAGAAGAGTTTTGCACAAGGCCTCTCTCTGGCTCAGGAGGATCTGCTGATTCCTCCAGGAATTTGGATGTCCTAGGACATTGCCTTTGCTTAGTTTCTATGCATGTCCATAGTAGGGTGGACATGTAGATGACGAAAGAAAATGGAATAAAAAATTCATGGGCTAAATTGTTGTCACTTGACCATTCTCCTTCACTTTTACACATCTGGCTCCTTTAGCATATTCAAAGGATTGTGATCACAAGTTTCTCCTAAAAGTGCATACATGTTCAAGAAAGTTATTTGGTATGATCTAAAGACTAGAACATATGAAGATGCAGAAATTCCTTGTTATCAACGGCTATTTGATGCCTATACATTTGATGGAAGCCTAGTCTCTCCCAAATTGAAGACAAAACGCATCAAGAATGTGATAAAAATGCCTATACATTTGTTGGAAGCCTAGTCTCTCCCAAATTAAAGACAAAACGCATCAAGAATGTGATAAAAAGAAAATCAAGGAGACAAACAAGGAAAAAAGGGAAGAGACTAAGTTGCCTAAATTTCTTGTTGGATGACAAGCAAGGAATTGTCGTCTTTGTATTTTTGTCTATGTGAAGGGCGTGGAAATCCGCACGCAGCAATTCTGCCTGTTACCGTTGATTCTCGGTGCCGAGTCAGTGACTCGCTGAAGGCACATACATTAACAAAACCAAAAACGGAGTCTCTCCAACTCTCCCAAATAAATGTCAAGACCCATCAAGAATGTAAGAACAGGGGATGAAAGGAGAAGACTGTCCCTTCGTTAACTCCAATCATGTTAGGTACTTGTGATGTTTTTGTTTTCCTTAGTTTTGTGAAAACCCTTAATTATGTTATTTATATGCTGCAAGTTCAAGTCACAGTAGAGGCTGGGGACTGTTACAGAATGTGGCAGTGATAATAATTTAAAGTGTGTTTTACTTATAAATATATTAAAATAAAATTTTTTAGTTTTTTAAAATTATTTTTAACATTAAAATAATTCAAAAATATTATTTAAAAAAAAACATTTTAAAAATTATTGGAAACACGCATTCCCAAATACACCTACTCTTATGCATGTGAGACTAGAGTTTATTCTTTGAAAAATGACAAGTGGAAGGGCATTGGAGGTTTGCCATGCCGTCTTGATTATAAAGCTGCTATTTGGCTTGGAAATCATTTTAGGGTTCATTGAAAGGAGAAAATAAAAAAAGAAATCTTTCATGTAAGCTTCACAATTTTTCACTTGTAAGTTATTGCTGTAATTTTACTACTCACAAAAAAGGAAAAGTCTTAAATTATCCTTGATCAATTTTAGTAGGTCTAAATGATCCCTGTGCAGAGTTCATCTCACCCTCAAACATCAGCAAATGAGGGTTTTTTTTTTTTTTTTGTGGGGGGGTGTTAAAATTTAATAAATTTCCTAACCCTAACCATTTAGCTCGGTTTGTGAGCTATTTCAGAACAATTTTGATTTTTCAAAGTTTTATTTAATTTTTCACCCTTATTGTGAGACTTTTTCCAGCATCTAGGTTTTTTCTCGAACTCTTTTCGTTTCACCACCTTCGTCAATTCCCTTTCAATATCAATCTTATTAAACTTGGTTTTGTAGAATTTAAACCTTTATTAATCGCTTAGTTCCATAAATAGGACTGTTATTGCTGTTACAAAGCAACACCATACTCACATCAATCTTGCTCCAGAAGTTGCTTCGCTACGACTCTACAGCAAGTTAAAAAGTAACAACATTCTGCACTGTTGACAAATGATATCGAAAAGCTTTATGCAACTTGAGTTTTCTCTTAAAGGCAAAGAGCACAAAAGTCACCGAATATAGGGGCTAAAAGATTTGACAAACTTGCTTGACAAGGAGGCACCCCTTGTGTTGCAAGGAGACACCGACTCAAGGAAATTGATTTAGGTCCTAGGAAGCATAAAAGCTGAGTTCAATTTGATTCCCGGTAAGAATCCAACATGCAGGAAAAAGGAAATCCAGTACCATGGTTTATTACAAGGCAAGGTTCCCCTTCAAAACCCCGAGGAAATCAATGCAGTTGCATCATGAAACTACCGGAGAACGTCATAGCTCACATACTAAGTTATATACCTGTCAAGAGTCTGTTGCTTTTCAAGCGTGTCTCCGGGCTATGGTGTTCCCTGATTGAGAGTGAATATTTCATCAAACTTCACCTCAGAAACTTTGTCCATGATAGCTGCGGTGCCAAACTTAGCCTCATTCTTCAAGACACATGCTTCTCAACGCCAAAGATCTTTTCAGTCACCGATGTTGGTTTGCAGAATGAATGCCTCGAACTCGGAGGCCCGTTCGGTTACAGGACCAGAATATTAGGATCTTGCAATGGTTTGCTTTGTGTTTGTCAATCAGACATGGAAGACAGCGTCGAGTACAAACGATCAGGGAAGTATTACGTCTCCCCGAAGATAGCCTTGTGGAACCCATTAACAAAGAAATTGCATATCCTGCCCTTCGCACCTATTCAAGTTACAACATGGAGTCCTCTCTATGGTGTTCTTGACTCTCTTGAATTTCAATATGCATTTGGACATGATTCATTCAACGACGACTACAGGGTTTTGAGAATTGTACAGCAGAATCCTGGAATGCCTGATCCTGATAAGTTTATCCTTAAAGCTATGGTTTATAGCCTGAAGGCTAATTCATGGAGAGAAATTGTTGCACCTGGTTATCTTCATTATATTGTCAGTAAAGAATCTGTGCTCGTCCACGACGCTTTTCATTGGTTGCTAACCCAAGGGCATGGATTGGATATTGTTGCATTTGATATTCAAAGAGAAGAGTATTGCACAGTGCCACTGCCTAACTTAGAAAGTAAGTCTTCTCCTTACTACAGGAATTTGGGTGTCCTCAGAAAATGCCTCAGCTTAGCCTCTAGTAGTGTCCATAATGTTGAGATATGGGTGATGAAGGAATATGGAATGAAGGATTCATGGGTTAAATTGTTCTTGCTTGAACAGTCTTCTTCACTATGCTACAGTACTGTTCCATATGATCTGGCCCCTTTAGCATATGTAAAGGATAACAATGATGATCATAAGGTTCTCCTAAAAGGGCTGCCTGATCAAAGTCTCATATGGTATGATCTAAAGCTGAAAAAATATGAACATGTCCAAATTCATGGGGCTCCATGGCGATATCAACCCTATATTTTTGTTGGAAGCCTTGTCTCTCCTCTCCCTCCAATGCGGAAACAAATTGATGGCAAGATACATCAGGAATGTGAGAACTAGACAAACAAGAAGAGAAGAATAGGAGAAGAAATAGCCAATTAGGGCCTGTAAATCTTCTTTCCTGTGCTTCGTTTATCCCAGATTGTAAGACAATTCAAATGTCTAATGTTGGTAATTGTTTTTGGCTATTTACATTTGCTGTGAATGCTGAATGGCGGTGGTGGTTATAGTTTTGTTCATGTCAAGGCCAATCTCTGCATGTGCTTCAGCTCCCACTGATGACATGTTCAGATGCTTGTGCAATTCCAGTATGCTAGAATACAGCTTCCCTTTCTGTTTATTCTTTCATAATTTGTGTTTCGAGCTCTGCACATACTTGAACCATGACAAGCTTTCCTTAGTTTCGTAGAACAAACCTTAATAACGTAATTGTATGTCGCAATTTGTGAGCAAGTTACAGAATTATGTGGAATTTCCACAAAAGCCGACCCAAGATTAGTTGGATTGAACCTTTTTTTTATTTTTATTTTTTTAATGATTTCGCATTAGATATTTTTAAAAAAATCTGTTTCGATTTTGATTTAAAAATAAAAAATCAACTGAAAAAAACCACTAAAAAATAAAAATAAAAATCAATTAAATAAAAAATCAGTAAAAACTAGCTCAACTAAAAAGTTCCATGAATTAAATTGGACTTAGTCAATTTTTTAAAATGTAAAAACAAATCAAACCGATTGGTTTGATTAGTTTATTTGGTTCAGTTTCGATTTAAAAAAAACAGTTCGGTTATATTTTTTGCCTAAACTTAATTATTTGAACCGATCCTCAGTCCTATATGCTTGCTGGTTCAGGTTCCCTGCAGAAGCAGAGGATTTAGACTTATCAAACGAAAACTTAATCTCACCAAATATACTTAAAAAAGATATCATACACAAATCAATTAGGCCCCTGAAATTGCTCTGCTACGGCATTCTGAACTGATGACAATTATTGAAGGAAAGCTCAATGCAGTTACTTGAATTTCATCCAAAGATTAAATAGCATGCAAATCAATTCTAAAACATCATATACTGAATTGAAGAACTAAGAGAAGAACTCAAAGTCAACGCCTTCTTTGAAATTATTATTTCGAAACGTCTCAAAATAGTTGTCTCTCAATCTTATCTTTTCATTCAGACACAGATTCTGCCAAGGTTGAAAATGTATAAACATGTCAACGTTCTAAGAGGACTTTTACTCCAGCCTTATGAAGACTGAAGCTGCTTTACAAATTGCATGTAAGAACGGTCAAGCTTGCTGAAAAATCTGCTGCATCTGAAACTCCACGAACAGTTGTTCTGCTTGTGTTGATAGAACTTGCAACTGTACTCGAACTGGTGTCTAACTTGTTGGAGGAAGGAAAGTTGTAATTGAGACTTGAATCATATAGAGCCCCGCAATATCCCATGTCGCGTTTCTGCTCTAATTCTTCTATTGATCCATCAGAATGATTTTCTCTGTTAGCAGCGGCTGTGAAGTGAAGACAAGGCGGAATGTAATGGCCATTCCTGAAGAAAGGATGTTTTAAGGCCTCCTCAGCAGTAGGCCTATTGCACGGATTCCAAGAACAAAGCATTGAAATAAGGTCGATTGCTTCCTCACTGGCAGATGGGATCAATGCCGAAAGCTGGACACCATCAAAGTTTGGAAATTGGTAGTTAAGAGTCCTCGCAAGATGAACTCCATCAGCCCATGAATCTATAGTTGGAGTGCCAAAGACACTGCATATTCTGTACATCTGGTTTCCCTCATTGGTACCAGGAAACAGTGGACGGAGAGTGAATAACTCGGCCATGATAGCGCCCATAGCCCACATATCAACCTTAGAACTGTAACAATCTGACCGCAGCATCACTTCAGGAGCGCGATACCAGCGGGTGCTAACATATTGTGTATACGGCGGCTGCGAATCGATTTCTCTTGCAAGACCAAAATCAGCAATCTTAACAACGTCTTCAGTAACCAACAGGTTCTCCGGCTTAAGATCGCGGTGAAAATATCCTTTCTGATGCATGTAAGCAAGACCCTGAAACACCTGACGACACAAGTTCCGAACTTCAACTTCTGAGAACAGGATTTTCCTGTCAGAAATTACCTGATAAAGGTTCTGTTCCATGTACTCGAAAACGAAATACAGAATGCTGTTTTGGCGGACAAGCTCCTTAAGCATCACAATGTTTGGATGATGCAAATTCTGCAAGGACTTCAATTCTCTCAAACTCAAACATTCTTCCCATGAATCATATCTTCTCTTCATCTGCTTAATGGCAACAACTTCACCAGACTCGTTATTAGTCGCCTTCAGGACACTGCCATAGGTTCCCTCCCCAAGTTCTTTCATTAACGTGTACCTTTCCATGGTCCACTATAAGATCCAAACTGTTACTACAAGAAAAATGCTGTAAGACTTACCACTAAGTGCTTAAAAAATAACAAACGCTGAAGGAACTCTTGAAGAACTAATGATTCTTCGAATGGCGACTTCTTGGATTGATTAAAAAACTAGTGGTGGTAGTTTATACCCCATATGGACAAAACCCTGAAAACAAAGCCAACCATCTATTTCTGTGTAAATCTCTAACTAAATGCAACAAGACTGACCACAAAACGCTTCAACAATCAAGAAACCCTAAAGGAACTCGTGAAGGACTAAAAATCCCCCAGATGGCTACTTCTTGGATTGATTAAAGAACCTCGTGGTAGCAATACATACTCAATCCTTGTGTGACAAGGAAAGAAGAAAGGAAAAGGGAGTTTGACTGGTTGGATGCAAGCATATGTTATGTTATTTCACGGGCCAGTGTATATCTCTATTTTATGGGCCAGGGCTAACAGAGTATACGGATAGATGCAGGGACCGATTCAAGAAAACTTCCTAGATTACAGCAAAACACTTGACGTCACTTTGATTAAGATTGGCATTTATAGGAGAATTAAGGTTAAGATTTTATTTTATTTCAATTTGGGTTGTTTTACTTGGGTTGGATTAGTGTTTCAAGACTATAATACTATTTTGATGTTTTAGTTGGGTTGGAGCATTTTGCATA